GTGCTAATAAAAATGTGTAATGATTCATGTAATCCGACTCAATGACATGTAAAATATAATTGTATGGAAAACGGTAATCAATACAGAGCCGTGCTGCTTTGTGTAATTTAGGCACACATCATGCTCTGTGGAATGCATTTTGAATCAAGATGGCTCAGTGAAAGTTTGTTGTTTTTGTTGGACAGATGGAGCAGGTTCTCACGAGAATTTAGTACCAAAAAGTAATTAGCTGAAAACAGACAGACAGAAATCTATTTAAATCACAATCATGTTAAATGTTTTTTTTCTTTTTCAAAACCGAATTCAACTTCATATCCGCTCTGAAAATAACAATTATTCAGCGTAATTAGCTGAAAACAGACAGACAGAAATCTATTCAAATCACAATCATGTTAAATGTTTTTTTCTTTTTCAAAACCGAATTGAACTTCATATCCGCTCTGAAAATAACAATTATTCAGCAGAATCGGCAATATGGCTGCATTCTAGTATGTAATCCAGTCACAATCTCAAACACACAAACCATTGCAGTTGCAAAATTTATAGCGGAGTGTGTTGCCCTAATACACCTCAATTCAGGCAGGTAAACATCGCTTTAAGATCGAAGTGTCTAAAATAATAACGAGAGCAACATTTATAATATCAAACCTGTTAAAGGCGACCATTGCAGTTGCAAAGTTTATAGCGGAGTGTGTTGCCCTAATTGACCTCAATTCAGTCAGGTAAACATTACTTTAAGATCGCAGTGTCTAAAATAATGAGAGCAACATTTATAATATCAAACCTGTTAAAGGCTGGACCTTTAATAAATTTTACGTGAGGCGTACGCTTATATGGCAAAGGTCAATATTTACCTTGCGAATTACCTTCAACAAAAAAAAAAACATATTGCTGAGGTGTACGCTTATATGGCAAAGGTCAATATTTACATATGTATCTTTTTTTTTGTCTCTTACAGGACCCTGTAGTCAAGTGGATGGGTCACTGGCGAATTACCGTCAACAAAAAAAAAGCATTAAAGATATACACAGCTGTATGTGATTGAAACCCACACGCTACACTACTGACTTGTTTCATACAATTTGAGATTCCAACCCCAGACGTGACAACTGTGAGGCCGATTCGCTAACCACTAATCCGCCGTGTTACCCATGCCAGTACAAAATAAACCATGTTTTCCACATTCTGAAATGCTCTTGCCTTTGTCTAATATGTAATTAAACATACTGGTTGTCATCACCGTTGCCTAAGGATACGGTGATGTAGCCTTAATAGTCTTGTGGAAAAACTCGAGTACACCCCCCTCAGTTCTTTGACGTCTTAATTGATCCCCCCTGGACCTCATCAGCTCCTCCTTGTTTCCTCAATCAAATCTGACTTCATTTTTGTTGTCACTGCTGTTATCTCGGTTGATTTATTGGCCATTGTCGCTCAAATGCATGTATCGCGGTAATATCATCTGAACTTAATCGACTGGCTGTCGCCAGACGTATGCTCTCAGTATTCCCGGTCTAGGGAGCAAGCTTTTAGGGTGGAATGCGGATTGCACAATGCATGCAAGGAGTGTGGTCTCAGTAGCCCTGCAGTCAGTAGCGTGCAGTGTGCATATGGCACCGCGCAAAGGGTAGAAATTTACCAGAATTAGCATCAGTATCCGTTTGGATCATTATGCTGCGAGTTGTTTCCTCGCTTCACATTTAGGAGCAGAGTTGCAGATTATCAATTTATTTCAGTGGCATCTTCTCAGTTTTGAAATGGTTAATTTTCTACCGCGATCCTTATACAGCGAGCAAACAATGGACTTTTCATTTCTGATCGTGTTGCTTCGTCACACAGTGGTTTACATAGTTCAATGACTCCCCTTGCTAAATTTGGTCACACACTGTCTTCCGTACTGATTAAAGTGAAGTTTCATACACATTCGTGTGTTTTTTTTTTTTTTGTTTGTTTTCTGTCATCATAAAATTGGTACTGATTAAAGTGAAGTTTCATACACGCTCGTGTGGTTTTTTTTTTTTGTTTGTTTTCTGTCATCATAAAATTTACACCAATCTACATGTGATTTAAAAAGAATAGCAAGATTCGATGCTGTTTACGAGCAACTGGAAGTGTTTTTGTTGTTGTTTTTCAGAATAGCAACACACCTCCCCAAAAAATAGTTGCGTGTCAGTGGTGAGATATTTTTAGAACAGGCCTGCGATCACCACATTTTTAACACCTGATTTAGAGTTTAAATGATCTCAACCAGGGGTCTAAATTTTAGACCTCAAGGCTGGCATGCCCGTTGCCGTGGTAACTAAAGAGCATGTGGTCATCCACTTTTTGGGCCCATGTTCACTTCCCTTATTCATTCTGTTTCCTCTGTGTATTTGTCCTGGTATAATATAGTGTTGGACTTGGAGGCGGTTAGAATGGTTTTGCAAATGAAATTCAAAAGTGAAGTGATATTCAGATGAACCGGTGTGGGATTGCTTTCTAAGGTTTTATGTGGATCTAAATATGGTGTTGGACTTGGAGGCGGTTAGAATGGTGTTGCAAATGAAATGTCATTCAAAAGTGAAGTGATATTCAGATGAACTGGTGTGGGATTGCTTTCTAAGGTTTTATGTGGATCTCATTACTTGGCCGGGTCAGCAGGCAATCAGAGCATGTCGGCGTGTTTTCATGTGTCTCCGGCATGATGTATGTACTAAGGCGTGTGTTGGTGTGTTTTTTCTTTTTCTCCTCGCATGCACTGTATGTAACCAGTGTTTCTAACCTTTGTGCTATGGTTGGTGATTACAGGCAATCCTTCCAACAGCCAAAGCAAAAAAAGCATAAAGCAGCGATTCCTCAAGCTGCTGCCGTGCTGCACGCCCTCGGCCGCTCCCTCAATCAGTCAAAGCAAGTCCTCCTTCACTTTATCCACGTTTTTTACTTTATCTTATGAGTCCTGCTTCTCTCGGGGATGAACACCAGGCCGCTGCCGACACGTTCTGGTGACAATGGCCCAAACAAACCACTTGAACACCATATTGGATACTTGGCTGCCTGATGTGTAGTGCAAGGAACACGGAACACCTGTGCTTTTATCGTTTTGGTTTTTGCCAGTGCATTCTGTTTTCCAACTGAAATGTCCCATTTCTCAGATTAGGCAAATTGTGTCCTTTTGTGTGTTCGCAATCGCAATTGGAGAGAAGGCAGGTTTTCTCTTTCATGGATTTAGATTTTTCACATCCCGCGAAGTGGCACAATTGGGAAAGTTAATGCTGTAGCTTGGAATTCATCTTTGGCATTGTTGTACCATTTTTGGTTTGTAAGCGTTTTTGGTTTTCTTTTCAAATTGTGATTGTGTTACAATTGTTTGTTTGAAACAGTCCTTAAGATGTGCAACTCAAATGGTACCACATGAATTTTAAAAAAGAAAAAAAACATCTTTTTCTCATTGATGCCCAAGTACACCTCTTCTCGGTATGTAATCTATATCAAGTACAAAAAGATTTCATGAGATTCAGTGAGCAGTAGATTTTGAAAAGTCACGTTCTTTTGTTATGTTTCAGAAATGTGCATCAGGCTAGCATCTTGACTGGGAGCATTTTGACATTTTGCAGATGATACGTGACAGACTTGGGTGCGATATTTAGTGAAATGTTGGCCTTTATTAACATGCTCACTTTCATTTTCTGCAGTGTTTTTGTTTAACTCACTTCTCATGCTTTCATATTACTCCTCATTTTCATTCAGTGCGAGGAAGTTAACATTTCATTTGAGGCCCCATTTATTTTGTATTTTAATATTTAAGTTTACTTTAGTTCACAATTTCTTAATTTATTGTATTTTTTTAAATGACTGTAGTTCCACAAATATAACTGCTCGCAGTTTATGGACTCAACTGCAGAAGAGTGAGGCCTACATTTGTACCGCACATAATATTGCCACTGCCAATGTCTATTAAATGGACTTCAAAGCAAAATAAAATGACTATTCGCGATAAGCGTAGCTCCACGGACACACACAATGTTGTTTAGAGTCCAGATCTGAGTCTGCTGGAACTGTAATTTCCAATAAATATGACATCTCCATATACTGTATTTTCTGCACTATAAGGCGCTTCGGAGTATAAGGCTCACCTTCAATAAATGGCCTAATTTAAAACTGTTTTCATATATAGGGCGCACCGCATTATATTATGCGGTTGCGTTATGCAACCACTATATGGAGTGACGCTCAAGGGAATACAATACAATACAACTTTATTTATAAAGAGCTTTCACAACCGCTGCAGCTGTAACAAAGCGCTTTACAGAACAATTATAATACTACGTCCAAGAAATCAAAATATTGATCCAGAAAATCGAATGCTTTTAGGTGCGCTTTATAGTGCGGAAAATACGGTCCTATAATATTCTCTTCAAAACCGCACAGGGAACTTTTTTTTTTTTTTTTTTTAGAACATGCCCTACGTCTGCATTCTTAAACTCAACCTCAGAGATTTTACTTCACTAGATGCTGCTGATTTGGTTAGCAACAGAGTCCAAAGGGAATTTAGCTTTTTAACGTGCGTGTGTTCAACCGTGTTCGATGGGACTCGGCAAATGTAAGAGTAGGGGACACAATTTGAGGAAAAACTGTGTTGGGAAGCATGTGTGAGTGCGTGCTTATTTGTTAGAGAGGGAGAGAGTTTTATGCACAATGACAGAGCTTTTATTGTTCATTTGAATGGGTTATAAAGGTAATAGCTTCTCGAGGTCGAGCTCGGGGTCGAGTGAGAATAAAATATGAAATGTCTGCTGGTTATGGTCTCTGCACATGTTTATATCGCACCGTCGTTTTCTCCTCAACTCACTTTACAACTTGGTTTCAGCTTGTATTTTTTTTTCCCTCCTTTTCAAATTGCTCTTTTCTTAATTGCTCCGTTTGTTGTGGTTGTCATCATACTGTGCCAAGAGTATGGCATGAGACATACACTGACATGCTTGTTGTAATGCTTACCCGAGTGTGTATGTGTGTGTCTCGCGCAGACAGCGTAGAAGATGACTTTGAGCTCTCCACCGTGTGCCACCGGCCGGAAAGCATGGATAAATTGCAGGAGCAGACCAAGTTCACCAAAAAGGAGCTGCAGGTTCTCTACAGGGGCTTCAAAAACGTAGGCCAACTGGAAGGAAAGACCACGCATGCATATGGCACGGTTATTTATTCTTCCATCTTGTTTCTTTGACATTTTTTGTTTGCCAGGAGTGTCCGAGCGGTGTGGTGAATGAGGAGAACTTTAAGAACATCTACTCGCAGTTCTTTCCCCAGGGAGGTGAGTCACAACTGATTTGTAGTCATCCCCCACTATTCAGAGAGGTTTTTGGGATGTTGGGAGCTTTTGCATTTCCTTTACGTTTGTGCTGCGTCTTTACAGATTCGAGTACGTATGCGCACTTCTTGTTTGAAGCCTTCGACACCGACAAGAACGGTTCAGTTAGCTTTGAGGTGATCTTTTTGTTCTTTCTATATCAGACACCCTTGGGCACACGAGCATGTTGCCGCTGTCGGAAGATCCATGATAATTTATTTAATCCTGTGTCAGGACTTTGTATTTGGCCTGTCTATCATCCTGAGAGGGACCATTAACGACCGCTTAAACTGGGCCTTTAACCTCTACGACCTGAACAAGGATGGCTGCATCACCAAAGACGTCAGTGTGCTTCTTCTTTTTGCAATTATTTTTATCGCAATCGTTCAGGTCATTAACCTTCGGCCTGGATTATGCAAAACAGTCTGCTACAGTTAATCTGATTGTGGACTTGAAAAATCCTGCAGTATATATTCATTTATTTATTGACAGGCTTAAAAATACAAATATTTTTAAATGATTTTTCATATCATAGATTGATTAATCCTACTTTTATGTATTTATTCATTTTTTGTCATTCATTTAAACCGCGTTATGCTTGTTGGGCCTGATTTCAGCGCTTCCGCCATTTTGTTTCGATGCATTGTAACGAGATCTCCCATGACGCGAGAAATCACTTAAATTTATGGGGAGGAGGGAGACATTAAAACAATCGATTTATGGTTTAATGAATGAATATCGTGCTATGTAAAGGAAAATCGATTTGATAAATTGATTTTTTTTAAAACCCAGCCCTATTACAGATTGTCATTTTGCAGGACAAGTCGAATCTTAATTTAAGAAGTGAAAATATGGATTCAAATAGGTGTACAGCTTCAAAAAAAAAAAAAACAGCAATAGAGCTCTACTGCCATCTCTTGATAAGTGCTATTGAATGATTCCATGCTGCTAGTGTTTATTTGTATGTGTTGTTTGAAAGATTTATTTTGCAATACTGCGACTGTTGGAATATCTCACCTTGCCTCATACGCTCACGACTAATTATTTCCATTTTAGCTCTGAGATCTCCACTAATGTATTCTCCATCACTCATGGCACTTTGTCTTTGCAGGAGATGCTGGACATCATGAAGTCCATCTACGACATGATGGGAAAGTACACGTATCCCACGATGCAGGATGATGCCCCCAGAGAGCATGTCGAGAACTTTTTCCAGGTCAACAAACAAACAAACAAATAGGAATGATTGTAACTGTGCACTTTTACTTTTTGTAATTATTAAATCTCTGGCTGATGGTTTTTTTTTTTCCCCTTTCAGAAAATGGACCGAAATAAAGATGGAGTGGTTACAATAGAGGAATTCATTGAGTCGTGTAAAAAGGTAAAGCACTTATAGATAGATAGCGAAATAGACTGTCTGGGAATCACAAATGGAATGAGATAGTTGGATAAATAGGTTAGATCGATAACGCTGTTTCCCCCCCCCCCCCCCCAAAAATTTACTTTGTCCCCAGGACGAGAACATCATGCAGTCCATGCAGCTATTTGACAATGTCATCTAAGGACCAAGAAGGGTGCTGGTTTCAGGGTTGGGGGAGGGGGGTGGGGTCAAATGAATCAGGGTTGAAAGAGGGAGCGTGTATGTGTGTGCGTGTGTGGGTATGTGTGTGTTCAGCTCCTCTGGATGGGAAGCAACGGGCTACGGTGAAGCAACCGTGGAAGTCCACTCCTCATCAGGCAGTGTGGAGGAACACCGGGGGGTAGAAGGCAAGCAGCGGGCTGACAGACACGAGCACAAAGCCAACCACCTCGCCCCCCACCACCCCCGCCAACCTCTTTTCTTGCCACTTCTTCTATTCCTGCCAGAATGGTAGCGCTCCAAGTGAGGATGCTGCCGCCCCCAAAACCTCATCACTGACTTTGTGCATGTGCCCCTGTGACACAAAAAAGGAATCTGACGCACTCACGCCGGGCGAGAGCAATTGCGACATTCCTGGGAGATTCCAAGGGCGTCAGGCTTAAACTCGGAACTGATTTCAAAATCGCATGATGATGTCACTTATATCCGACGATGACGCTATTTATCGCGACGCTCCGAAGTCCGCTTGTCCGTCTGCTGTTTCCCGGTCATCCACAGGTGCCTCAACGCTTGTGCAAAGTGCATGTGCAACAGGATGACCGTGACTTCTCCATCTTGCCTCTATGGAGGAATCGACTGGGAACAACACCCTTCTTCATTCAGCGGATTCTGCGAGAACGAGTCTTGGCCTTCCAAACCATTTCCGTCCGTCTTAGCTGTAGGTGTCTGCTGACGATCATGCACCATAGCTGACAGACCACCGCAGTGGTTCTAGCCTTTAATGAAACATTTGTGGGGAGTGTCATAGACTGCAGACCGTGTTTGTGAACTTTGTGATCAGATGAATCATGTGATTAGAGCGGGGTCTTTGAAACAAAAAGAAATTAGCAGGTTTTCAGAGTGTGAGGCAGACGAAAAGGAATTCAGGGGCGGCGCAGCAGCTTGAGGGGGAAAATAAAATTAAAGAAAGGACTATGCAGTGGAACCTCCAGAGTGAAACACTACAAAAGAGTTATGAATTCAAGTGAAAAATAAAATTAGGACTAATATGGCTCAAAAATCATTTTTGCTTTACCTTTTGTTTTTGACATGCACTTCAATACAGAAATCTATTTAAAATGTCACTGACCGCATCACTCTGTAAACCCATTTCTGTTTCTTCTTCGCAGGGGTCTACAAAGGGTGAGTACGATTACCGTATGTTTTGGTTTTGTTTCACAGAATTTTTACTTTATATTTCTATGGTACTAGAAGAGTATTAAAATGTGAGTAAATGCTGTAGTTAAAGTAAACTTTTTAATTGTGATTTTTATCTCCTTCGCAGAATGAAGTACATACCTATGTTCTTTTTAATGGGGAAAAAAAAAGTTTTTTAAATGGAGGTTCCATTGCATGTTTCATAAACTTGCATAGGTATGTTTAAAGGGGAAGTCTACTGTAAAATGTTCTTTAGAATAATAACTTCTATTCAGCCTCACGAGTCTAAACACGGCATTCTCATTCTCATGGAACATGAGTTAAGCGGTAAAATTCCCCCCCCCCCCCCCATCCCCCCTGTCTCAGGGTGCAGCCCTATTGCCACTTGCTGTTGACTGAAAATGACATCACAGTTGCTCAGGGCTCCGTGAACAACCAACCGTAGCTCAGTTTCAGAATATACAGGTGAGCCGTGATTGGTCATAACCTGAGACCTGATATGTCATTTTCAGTTGACAAAAAATGGTCGCCCCCTGAAATGGGTAAAAAAACGGGTGGATTTTGCTGCTTAACTCATGACACAACTCAACTCAACTGTATTTATAGCGCACTTTAAAACAACCACCACTGTATACAAAGTGCTGTACATAGAGCAAAGACAATATTAATCAGAATGCCGTGTTTAGACTAGTGGAGGTGTATAGAACATATTGTAAAGAAAATTTGGGGGTTGACTTCACCTTTGAAGGCAAGTCAGATGAAGTACACTGTCACACACTTTGAAAACCCCCAAATTATAGGCCACATTGTGAATTAAAAAATGTGTGTTAGTGAATGAGAGAAAAACCTCAAACTTGTTTTACCACCACCAACCCCCCCCTTTGCCATCTTGCCCCAATTTTCTCTGGAACACCAAAGAAAAAAAAAATCATAAGAGAGGAGACCCATTTTGCATACATCTGCACAGGAAGAAAGACGCTGTTGGTAATTGGCAAGGATCAGTCAGAGACATAAGAGGTTATGTGATCTACTGTGATCTTTTGGGTGTGTGTGTGTGTGTGTGTCTTTACTAATAATAAAAAAATATTCCATGGTCTACAAATGAAGAACAATAATGAGCGAGAGGACTTTAATCACAGTGAAATCCCGAATCCGAATAAACACTTCCAACCTTTTAGCATTAATTTTAATGTTTTTTCCAGCCAGTGGTTTGGCTCTGATTGGCCCTTGCCACTCATCAGCTCTCACAAGTCAAAGCTGCTCATTCTCTGCATGTAGTTTGTCTAGAATTTAAAAAAGAAAATCTACTAGTCTGTTGTAACCATTTTTGTTAGCGCGCCTCTAAATAGTTAATTATTCTAAATATGTATATTTTGTACAGACAATAAAATTCACAGTTACTATGCAAACAGGACTCCAGTTTTTTTTTCAACTGTACATTTTATTTAAATAATACAAGAAATAAAACTACATCTAGCCTTAATTTTTCGTCACTGTCATCACAAACAAATTCATGATTTAAATATACATTTTATACAGTAATAATTTCAAGAGCCACATCTTGCTCAGCTAACTGGCAGTTGAGTGATGGAAACACATAACTTGTTTTATAATTACATTCTGAATGTGGCTTCATAAACAGAAATTCATTCTTAAATGCATCCTTTCCAGCTGAAAACCAGCATGAAATTGTACAGCTGGGATACGACTGGTAAATGTGATTGTTTTGACAACGAATTTCCTCAAATAGTAGCCAAGGATACCCATTTCACGCTTTGTGAATTTCATTTTACTACATTATTTGTAAATTAAAAGTTTTTCAGAGTTTAGAACAAATTAATATAACCATTACAAAGAAATGAACCAGGGCAGAACAAATACGTTTTTTAGTGTCATGTGAACACGAACATGGTTGTGCACAACAATGAAGAGCATCCTTATGTCGGTGTGTATTGGAACACTAATTGCCATTTAAAATGATGTCTCATTACCAAAATGATCTTTAAAAGTGCACAGGGGACTCGTTTGCAACATGTAAGATTCCACACCAGAAAATTTACATGATTTGTTAGCAACAGACTTCAAACACCTTCAGCCACTAACTCTTGTGAACACATTGTCAATGTGTAAATGGTGTCTATGAACTGAGAAGATAAACTTGGGTCCCTATTTTTCCTGATAAGAAAACAGATGTGTATATTTGACTAAGGCATTGATTTGTGGATGACACACCAGGCGCAGATGAAAATGGACATTCGCTATTTGAGGAAATACGATCCAAACCAACTTCTCAGGCGCATGAAGAAATGGCTGTCGATCGTGTGCATCGAGGTTTCCATCTTATTTGTCTGCTTGAGTGCCTTACTTTAAAAGAAACAAGTAATGGCTCGTCCAGGATGTGTCCATCATTATTTAGGCATCTTTCGGAGCTCAGCTAGAACCCAAATGGCCAGCGAGAGCAGCGCCACGGATCCAGACTGGTGAGTCGCTGCCAGTGGGGTGGGCACATACAGTAACAGGGTACTAATCCCCAGTGCAACCTGAGGAACGAGGGAACAGATGAAAACTGTTCTGAGTCCCCGTGCGATCGACATGCTATGTGCGAGCCTACCTGTCCATATGCCATCGCTGTGAGGAGGCTGATGGCTATCTTGGCTCTCCTGGGCAGCACCATCCTTCTGGAGAACAGATACAGTCCAGTGATGGCCGTCAAAGAGGATATTCCCTGGACAAAAAGAAAAATCAACATTTTATGAGGTAAGCAAGCGAACTTGAGATTCTCCCTGTGAATTGTGTGACATACTAAGATTCTGTGATCAAACTGCACTGTCGTGGGGTTCTCAAAAAAGTTCTTGAGGGTGGGAGAGAAGGCCAGCAGGTCATCAGGGACCCAGCGTTCTCCCATCTTAGGGAAGGAGTTGTACACCAGGCCAGCATCCAAACCGGCCACAAAAGCACCTGCAAACATTATGAGTGATTTATTCAAATACAGTGCTACTTGATTCTTTTCAGGTTATTACAAAGGAAATGCAAAAACAAACAAGGTGCAAAGCCCCCAAAAATATTTAGTGTAAGGATACAGAAGCTAAAACTAGTTTCGATAATATGTAGTTATTTTTTTAAATTTTCCGCTCTATTTAAGTTACTCTCTTTGCTTTTATTTTTAAATGCAAACATGTTTTACTTGATTTTAGGAGTTTTTTGGGGTCAAAAGACATCAATAAATATTGCTCAAATCCTAATTAACTTTTTTTAATCAAATAGTTATGACAAAATATTTGGTGCTGAAATTACCATTTATAATGCAATGTTATGAGGTTCCACACCTAAGCTTGAAGACATTTCCCTTAACTGGACATTTAAGAACGCCCACCCCATTAAAAAAAAAAAAAAAAAGAAACTGACCCCAGTAAATACTGCTCATAGAGGTAGGTTCTGTCGTTCAAATGATAAGGTGGAACAAATAGCACTTCTCTCCAAAGCTGACCTGAAAGAGCTGTGAGGAAGACCAGTCCACCTGTTCCTTTGGCAAACCTCCGAAGCTGCATGAGGCGTTTGGTTTCTGCCAACTTGTGAAGAAGGCCGAAAAAAAACATGATTATTAATATGAACAAATAAATAAATGTGAAATCGTGGATGTACATAAGATGGTACCTTGTGAGCAGGCAGCAGTAGGGTAAGGCCAGTCCACAGACTGGCACAGTAAAGGAGTAAGGCAGAGCCAAGGTGAGCGCTTAGTCGATATTGGCTAACTCTTGGGATGTCGTGTGACTCTGGCTTCTCCTCCAGGCCACTTTTGACCATGTACCAACCCAACAGGCCCTGACAAGATAGAGACAGGTACACAAACAACTTCTGTGAACACATCTGTCATTATAATTAATAGCCTGACATGCAACTCACCTGAAAGAAGACAAATCCACAAAGCCCAAGCACTTTGCCCTTCATGGAGCGGGTGAAGTAGCCTCTCCTCCAGAAGTACACGGTGGGGAGGATGTAGGCCAGTCCCACCAACCTGCCCCACATTCGATGACCCCACTCCATGTAGAAGATGAACTTAAACTCAGGCAGAGTCATGTTATGGTTCATTCTGAGAGGACAAAAAGATGCCATACGTTTGCAGAACCTCCAAAAGTTTAACAATCTGAAGTTCAAGCCACATTTCAAGGAAAATCTACCTCAACAGTCAAACAACCCCCCTCCTGAATATATCAAGAAATGACACTTTTTGTGTTTGTGTGATGATAAGCTTAAAACCGGATATCAACCTTACGATATCCTGGCAGTTTAGAACAATATGAGCAGAATAATTTGATATTTATGGATTGCAGACATTTTCCATGCAGATATTCTCTTCAATAGCACAAAGTCGTCCTCATAATGGTAAATGTATAAATGAAAACTATTCAATAAATGAAATGGCTGGTTATGTGTGCTTGTATTAATTTGTGTTTGTTATTTTTGCTATGTTGTGTGTGTGTGTTGCATACATCACAGCACTGTTTATTGTATTTTTACAAGGGTGTTTAGGAACAGAATACAGAATCTTACATCTTGAATTCAGGAAATTGCTGGTATTTGGAAAACTCTGCTTCCCATTCTTCCTGCGATTGTGGGGGTTTCATCTCTCGCACCAGATGCCAGTCAACCATGGACAGGCCGGATTCGGTTAATCTGATTGATACAACAGATACATTAATCATCAAATGAAAGGTAGCGACACACAGATGACAACCATTAACTTATTATTTTATTTTTTTTTTACCGTGTGACGCCACCAAGTACAACAGCACCAACAACAAGACCGCTGCAGCCAAGTAACCAGCGACCGACTATCCTGTTTGTGGCTGCATTGGGAACACTGACCGCTGCAGAGGGGGAGGACGAAGCCCCTGCCTCGGCTGCAATTGTGCTGTGACTCCTTCTCGCAAGCCACTGTCGTAACTGTGCACCCTGTCCATGACACATTATGTAGAGAGACATTTTGCGTTATTCTGAGGTGTATATAGTTTACGTGTAAATGTCCCTCCCATCACCCTCACACACACTTGGTTTAGCATCCCTTCAAGAATCGTACAACGTTAATTGAAAAATTGCCAGTGTAAAAAAAACGTGACTGAATACGTTTGATAAGGTCTAATGTCAAGTATACTTAAACTAATATTTCTCGCACAGAATTTGACCTTTTTCAACACTTCCGAGCTAACTAGGCTAGCAGTTAGCTCAAAGATATGATACTCACTTTACTGAGTTGAATTCCTCCCCCGGCTCGTTTGCATCCATTTAATAACGTTGTCCTTACTGGAGCTAGTAACATGATTTTCCTCCTAACGTCGACCAAAGTAAAACAAGCTGGCCACAGTTGAAATGTTATGACAGCATTTAAACAAGCATGTTGCAAAACGTCAGGTTCAACTTTCAACTCTGAACTCCTGACGTCACCACATGGCTAGTGATTTTTTTTTTTTACTTAATTGGAATAAAAGCTATGTCAAACATATCCAAAGTGTTACAATTTTAAAATTAGTGAAGAAGGTTTACATTTTTATTTTTATTTTTTGCGAAACCCCTCGCGTTTGGGTCTCTTTGTTTTGTGATAGAGCGTACCCCGTCGAAGCGGTTCCACTCTCGCCGTAGACTAGCTTAACATGTTCCCTCACGCTAGCCGCCCAACCGTGTACATTAAAATTAACGCCCCGGAAGAGCTAGCGATCGTTGGCTACGCACAGCTGAACAGAGAACTATCAACCGCAGTATTAGAATGTTCGCTTGACAGGTAGCTGTATAAATGAAACCCCTTACGAGAGGTAAGAAATTAAGGATAGTCTCTTTGTGTCCCTCTTCAGACAGTCATTATGGGAGAGAGCTTTCTCATGGAGGTGTGTGTGGACTCCGTGGAATCTGCCGTCAATGCGGAGCGAGGAGGTTGGTAGGAGAAGTTCGTGCAGTGCTTCAATCTCGTTTAGAAACAATCACATGACATTCTTAGAAACCGTAGTACATTACCGTACTAAGAGTAGTTCCCCCTGAACGTAGAGATTAAAATAAAGTCAGAGAACATACAAAATTACAGTATCTATTTGAATGCAAACACACTTACAGGCACTAAATATAAATTAAACAATCAAATGCAAAACTGAAGCGTGGCGTTGTTTCACTCTGCTGTGCAAATTACTTCCATTGCGTGCAGTTTTAATCTGAGGAAAAGTGGTACACAGAATCGATAGATGGATTGCATGTTGGTACCTACCTGCCTAATTGTGTCGTCTTCTGTCAGGTGCTGGTCGGCTTGAGCTGTGTTGTAGTCTTATGGAAGGAGGGCTCACTCCCAGTCTTGGTGAGCACATTCTGGTGGGACAAAGAATCGTCAATTGTCTAGTAAATGTACTTTTAAATCTACTTACAGGCCTGCTGCAGATTGTTAAAAGATGTGTCAAAATCCCAGTCTATGTGATGATTCGTCCCCGTGGCGGTGACTTCCTTTACTCTGACCATGAAGTGGAGGTGATGATGAAAGACATGGAGGTGATGAAAAACCATGGGGCTGATGGATTTGTGCTGGGAGCCTTGACGGAAGATGGACAGGTGGATGCAGAGCTCTGTATGGAGTTTCTGGGTAGTGTAAGCCTGTGTAATTTACTGCATCATTTAATTTATTATACATAGTATAACTAGCATCCATCCTCGGGATGATGGTGAGCCGGGTTTGGCACTCATATTTGTATCTATGGACAGTTTAGGGTCTTTACCTAAACAGAGAGAAAATATGCTGACTCGACATAGGAATGTGAACACTGAGATTATTGAACCCTAACCCAGGCGTTCAGGGTTTTCAAAATTAGGTCCAAATCGAATGCTCTTGCAGGGCATATACGCTCATGTACCGTAGGTTTCCCATCCCTGATCTAAAAAGATACCAGGGCTGTTGTTAAAGCCTTACAAAGTATAAGAAAACCATCAATAAAACCAATTTTTAATAGTCCAGTTTTCTCTTTTTCTCTCTAGCTGCTGCTCGTCCTTTACCTGTCACCTTCCACCGAGGTACTCTACTCAAATGCATGTTTCGCCTGCCAATATTTTTGACCACATTTAAAAAAAAAATTCAGACAGGAACCAAATATTGATGCACTGTATTTTGCGATCTCCAGCTTTTGACATGGTCCGTGATGCAGCGGTTGCCTTGGAAATGCTGGTGTCGATAGGTTTCCAGCGTGTGCTGACCAGTGGCTGTGACAGCTCTGCACTGGAGGGTCTCCCACTCATTAAGCGCCTCACAGAGCAAGTATGTATGAATTCATCTGCAGTGGACCCTCAAGGGCTGACTCACTGGTAGACCTCTATCAGAAAAATAATGGCAATAGAATGAATCTGTTACTGATTTAAACTGTCACACTCAGCCCTCATTCCATCAATTTTCTTTTGCGCTTGACCTTTAAAAACTTGGATGTTACCCTATGTTTGTTTTTGCGCAAACTTTTATCCACTGTGTTGAAAACATTTCCAAAACTGGACAGAGTCTGCCTGTTTCTCTATTGTTTGGTCTTCCTAAAAGAAGTATTTGCTAAATGTTGATGAAATTCTGAATTGTATGCACGCAACTTTTGAGGATCCACTGCACAATACCTGCATCTTAACTTGTGACTCTCTGCTCCTCCAGGCTAAAGGTAGAATTACCATCATGCCAGGTTGGTGTTTTGTTTTTGCTAGTGTGAATAGTTTCTATGACTTAAAAAAATAAATAAATAAAGTTTGTTTATTTAATCTTTGTAATACAGGGGGTGGCATCACAGAGAGAAATCTGCAAAGAATTTTAGAAGGGTCAGGCGCTCAAGAGTTCCACTGCTCTGCTCGCTCCAGCAGAGATTCTGCAATGAAATTCAGGTTTGTTTAGATGGACTGTCAGTTAAAGGGGAAGTTTGCAGTTCTAAAAGCACTTTATTTTAGCCTCACTTGAATGAATACATACCCTCCCAACTGAGTCTCAGACCAAAGCTGCACCCCTCACTGACATGCATGTGTGATTCTCAAAAATGGCCACTCCTAATGGCATGAGCTTATACACGTGTGTAGTATTGATAAATAGTCACAGAGTTCAACTCGATAAATCAGCACTGCTAGCATAACTGAGCGAGTATTAGCCCTGTAAACAAACTGATGTTACCCTGATCTTAGCTGCTACATTTGTAGCGTGACTTATGAGGAACACTATTAGAATAACACTGAATGTTATTTGTGTCAAGTTTTAGTTTTTGGAATGTATAATCAATTTTTTAAAACATCAATAAAAGACATGTTTAGGAGCAGTTTTGCCAATTTTGCATAATTTTCTGACTATTCAGCAGCCCGAGGTCCCTTCAGTCTGCTTCAGTATGCAAGAGAGACAAATGTTATTAGTTTTTTTTTCCAACTTATCATTTTACTAATGTGCTACTGTTAGGTTTATACTGACAAAATAAAAAAAAATGACTCGTGTTTCTTTTACCCTGCAGGAACAGCTGCGTGACAATGGGAGCTGCTCTCACGGCTCCAGAGTACAGCCTGAAGGTGGCAGATGTGAGCAAAGTACGCGCTTTTAATGCTATCGCCAAAAATACCCTATGAATTGAAAGTGGAAAGTTATGGCTGATAACTAAATCAATACGTCCAAAGTTATTTATTCAAATTATTAAGTCCAATATAAGCTGATCTTTCCCAAATTTGTTTATCGTCATTCAGACACATCGAAAAAAAATAATTTACACACACGACATACAATTATTTATACCCTCGCCAAATATGCAATTATAGTGGATTTTCATTCATTAACTGGGTCTTTTTGTGGGTTTTTTTGTGAATTTTTATGAGTGTGGCAGACAACTGTAAGACTGGTTTAGGGGGAAAAAAGTGGCGCTTTCAATTTTGTCAAAACTTTGCATGTTAAAAACTCCAAATTTATTCTTTCTCCAGACAGGCATAGCATGCACCATTGATTAGATGTACTGTAAGTGAATAATAAAAAATAAATTCTGCATGTATTTGTTTACATGTCTATGTATGCATCCATATCATGCTTCGCCCCCTGAGTTTTTGCTACTTATGTCATTTTCATCTAAAAGTTGGATTTGCTAAATGAAAATCCTTTCTCACAATTTGGGAGTTTTGGGGCTGTAGTGTATGTTTTATTTGTGTGTTTTTGTATGAGAAACCCCACCTATTTACAGAAGCTTGCTTTTGTTGGAAGATGAGCTGAAACTGATCTTTTTATTGTGTTTTTCATGACAAAAGTCACAGGACTGTGCATTTTTTTCTGATGTCAATTAAAGTTGCTGTGTTTTAGACATTTGTCGCTCATGTATCTGTTAGACCATCCATCCATCTTCCGATCTGCTTTATCCTCATAAGCGTCACGGTCAGTGCTGGAGCCTATCCCAGCTGTCTTCGGGTAGTTGGCGGGGGACACCCTGAACCGGTTGCCAGCCAATCGCAGGGCACACACAGACGAACAACCACCCACGCTCACACTCACACCTAGGGACAATTTAGAGTGTTCCATTAACCTGCCATGCATGTTTTTGGAATGTGGGAAACCGGAATACCCGGGGAAAACCCACTCAGGCACGGGGAGAACATGCAAACTCCGCACAGGGAGGCTGGAATCGAGCCCTTCACCTCTGCACTGTGAGGTCGACACGCTAAACACTGGGCCACCGGGCAACCCTATCTGTTAGACCAAAAACCAAAATAAAATCAATGTAAGATAAAGACATATATAAATACAGTGCTCCTTCAAGACCATTGTAAATTTCTTACTATCTCGTGATCGCAAACAAATACCTCAGCATACAGGTATGGGAGATTGACAGTCCATGTTGATATGTTCTTGTAAGTGTAAGCATTCACAGTACACATTATATTAGGGCTGCACAACACATGAATAAGTGGGCGATGACACACTCAACCTGATCACACTCTTAGATAGATGCAAGGCAAGATGTCGTGAAAAGTGGCAAACGGTGCCGCAACTCTTGAGCGAGGCGGTGAGGCTCAATGACACCTGGACAGTCAAGTCCAAGGCCTTATAGATGAGCTCCTCAGCTTTTATGTCAAAGACAGTTCATTTTAAAAGTTGATGGAATCATGAACTGTAAACACTGAACTTTGTATACTATCCTGAGCATTACAGTCCAATGACACGCTGTAGGCACTTGTGAGTCTTTATCGATTTTGATATGGACTTGTTTTACACAGAGATGTTAATGATTTGTTCAAGTGAAATGACTCAAAGCAGAGCAGAAGAACTACATTTACTGTATAGGTGTTTAAGTTTGGTATTGTCCATGTCAGCATTAAGTGGCTTTCAGGACTCGGATTAGAGAACATCTGGTACTCGCAGCCCAACATTCTTCTGCATTTTCATCATGTTGTGGCCTACTTACGTATTTGCATAAGTATACACAGTGAGTACAAATAATCTCAATTTGCCACCATTTTAAAAATGCATTGTTAGGCCTGTGTGATTTTTTTGGAATTAAGCTATTACTACAAATTCTAAGATGAGCTGCTTTGCAAGTTACCAGCTCAGTGTTGTACGGAATGTAAATCCTTCAATTTATAGCCATTAACAAACTGCTCTTCTGAATCCTATGTTCTGGAATTTTCTGCTTTCCCCAGACTTTCTCGCCATAGGAACTACATATCAATTTATTGTTGCGTTTAACATGAACAACATTTTTATTCTTTGCCATTAACCAAATATCTTGTTGTTGTTTTTACCTTGCCCTTTTGTGTGGTCAATATCAGGGGATGTTGTTAATATTTGTTAAGTGGCATGTGAAGTCCTTTGACAGTCAGCCACTGATGTAAGCCGATAGTCATACCGGTAATTTAGAGGACATTTTTATGACCGTTTTATTATGTGCTGTTATGTCATTGTGGACTTTGTTTTTTTACTTCACATGTCCATTGAGTCTGCACGTGCATAATGAGTCTGCGTTGTGGGCCATGTTGCATTGTCAAATACAGTCTATAATCATTAACCTCAGGTCCATCCCCGGTTCATTCCTGTGCTGTAACTCCATAGCTGAGTTCACATTTATGATGGCATGCACGTGTGTGTCAAATAGTCGCGAGGATTTGTTTGAGGTTGTCCTCTCCTAAATAGAGTGACACAGCAAAGCATCTGTGTTCCATTAAAATGAAAATAACCACATGGAAGAACATGGCTACAACAGAAAAGAATGTGTACACCACCGCAACATTTTGTTTCACTCATTCTTTAAAAAAAAACAATTATAATCTTAGCCTGCGACATGAATTTTGAAAACAGAAAAAGTGGTTGGGCCAAACAGTCTTTTCTTTGTTTGTATTTACAGGCTTTCCGTGGCCGTGAAGAAGTGAGTTGGATTGCATGGCTTCTCGAGTTTAATCTGATGACAGTTGCTAAATTGTTTTTGTCGTGCAGGGAGGTGGGGAAGAAAACAGGAAAAGGGGGGGCTTTAATGAGCTCATTCCCCACCCTTTCTCTGAAACATTTTCCATTTTGGGGAGAATGCTTTCCAGGGATACATCTCTCGCTCTCTCTCTCTCTCTCTCTCTCTCTCTCTCTCTCTCTCTCTCTCACCCCCCCCCCCCCCCT